CCTGTGAAGCACAGAGTGATTTTCTTGGACCAGTCTCAACAAACAACAAAGGACCCATGAAACACACCAGTGAAGACTTCAGTGTGCAGCTCTGAATGTGTTTCTTCCACATAGGAGGGGCCGTAATAGAAAGTGTTTGCAAGTTTTCAGTGCACGGGTCTTTATAGACAATAATATAAGTTACTTACAGATTTTAATCAGTGGGCTTCATCAATATTGCTGGAGCTCAAAGGGAGATCCTGAGCTTATATGGGAGAGTGTAAGGGGTTATGTGTGTGTGTATGTATATGTGTATCTCTATTTGTGTTTATATGTGTGTATGTATCTGTGTCTCTCATGTGTTTGTAGATGTGTCTCTGTGTGTATATATGAATGTATGTGTGTGTTTGTGTATATGTGTCTGTTGTTATGTGTGTGCATGAGTGTGTATCTGCTTGTGTTTGTGTGCACACATGTATCTGTGCGTGAATGTGTCTATGCATGTCTTCGTATGTGCACATGCATATGTGGTGTGTACATGTGTTCAACTCCCCTGACGTTTGTGTGAACCACCAACTCTTTCCTTCCCTTGCCCATGGTCTTCCACTCTGACGAGTCAGATCCTGCCTGGAAGGAAGAGAGGTGGGACTGAGACTCCTGAGCTGCTGTCCTGTCATAGAAGGACCTGTGTATGGGACAGGAAAACACGGCAGTGTAAGCTGCAAGGCCATATCTTGCCTCTGAAATACAGTTATCCACAGGGACCCAGAACGGCACACTTCGCCACATCACACCCTCTGGATAAGCCTGCCATCTTGGCAGGACTACTGAGAAAGTGAGGTCCTTGGAAGTGCCCCATCTGAATGGCAAATGGGCAACCATTTTGGAAAAACAGCATGGCACTTTCAATGTTAAAATAAATTTTCCCTAAGACTCAGGAATGTCGGGAGTTAAAGATAAACAAAAAACATATATCGACCTAAAGACACACACAAAGGCTCACAGCAGCTCCACATGCAATCACCAAAATGGGGAAACATTTCAGATAGCCACAACCAATGAGTGGCTAAGCCTTGTGGGATGCGTTTGTACAATGGAACACCGTAATACATTGAAAGGAATGGTGACACACGTCACAATGACAACCTGTGAAAAGGACTGGTGTAAAAGACAGAGGATATGATTCTACTCAATGGAAATACCTAGATAAAACAATCAATGCTTGTCACCAGGCACTAGTGGCTTATGCCTGTAATCCTACCTAGTCAGGAGGCCGAGATCTGAGGTTCGAAGCCAGCCCTGCCAGGAAAGTCCATGAGACTCTTATCTCCAGTAAACTACTCAGCAAAAGCTGGAAGTGGTGCTGTGGCTCAAGTGGTAGAGCACTAGCCTGGAGCAAAAAGAAGCTCAGGGACAGTACCCAGGCCCAGAGTTCAAGCCCAAGCAAAACAACAACCACCACCAAAACCCAACACAATGCTTGTCTTCCTCGTCTCGTTCTCAGGTGTCTCTTTGGCGCCTGTGGCAGGTTAGGCTGAGGCTGCCTGGGCCGGTCCCTGAGGCCGAGGACTGTGAAGCCAGGGAGCGGCTCTGTCAGATGTGCAGGTGGGGACAAACCATAGGATGGGGAGGTGTAAGTCCCCCAGGAAATGTGGGGTACAGAACAAGAAGCAATGCCAGATGTCTCCTGCAGTGTTTTCTTAGCAACATGAAGTTCATCTCTCAACCTTTGATATTGATGGATGATTGTGGTTTATTGAAGCAACATCAGGCTCCTCCCAATATTGTTATGCCCATTTTGCTTTAGTGATTTTGCGGGGGGGGGGGGGGGGGGGGCGGCGGGGGGGTTCAAACCATGATCTTACGTAAAGTCATCTGTGTAGTTGAAACTAGATGTGTGCCATAATGCTTGGCTTACTGATTAAGACAGGGTCTCTCTAACTTTTCCCTCTTATCCATCCAAGTACTTGGGGTTACGGGCCTGAGCCACCACATCTGGGTTTCAGTATTCTTTTTTTGGGGGGGAGGTCTGGTCATGGGGCCTGAACTCTGGACCTGGGCGCTGTCCCTCAGCTCTTCAGCTCAAGGCTAATGCTCTACCACTTGAGCCACAGTGCCACTTCCGGCTTTTTTCTTTTTTCTTATGTGGTGCTGAGGAATCAAACCCAGGGCCTCGAGCATGCAAGGCAAGCGCTCTACCACTGAGCCACCTTCCCTGCCCTCAGTATTCTTTTTTTATGTGACGTTAGATAAGAACATTTCCTCAGTCTACACACTGGGCCCACTGACAGAAGTATATGAACTAAATAACTGTATCAAGTACTATAAAACTAGGAGGGCTAACTCTTGTCAAAATCTTTTAGGAAGCAAAATATATTTCTACTCTCACAAAAAATATAACAGTAATAATTTCACTTGTCTAGGAAACTACAGAATTTAAATTTTCTTCCAATAATGTCCTACACACAACAACATAGTCGTATTCTGCCCTGGGTGACAAGTTCCACTGCCAGCGGATGGGTTCAGAACCCAGGGGATATGTTCAAACATATTCCTCGTGCAGTGCTGTATCTGCATCACTCAACTTGGCCTCTAGAAATCAGAAGGAAATATTTATGTGTTAGAAGCACTTTCTCAAGAAAAATTCCATAGGGTCCTTGCTGCAAGTTTCTGATCTTTCAGAGGAAACATTCCCATATTTCAGCCATCTATTTAACACACATGTAAGGGACTACTTTGTAGCTAGCACTGTGTTTTGTGCTGGGACTCTTGAATACTGTAAGGCACATCCCTATTCTAACAGGACCTCTATTCCTTTGGAAGAAATAAATGAATATTTGATATGAGGATCAGAGGTAGAAATTCTTAATTGAAATTAACTGCCCCTAATTACAGAATGTGTATGTAATTGCTCTATCAGTGAGTGATAGTTGTGGCTTGGATAGGAAATGTCCTCCCTCCAAAAGGCTCATGTGCCAAAGCTTGGGTCCTCAGTGGTGGCTTGAGAGGTAACTGGATCATCAATGGAGCAAGCCTTCCATGGGTTCATAATCTGGTGACATTAGTGGGAAGTGGTGGGAACTCTTGGGAGGACAGCTGGGGGCACACCTTGTCCCTGGCTCCTCCTGTGTGGCCTTCACTCCTGGCTGCCATGGGGTGAGCAGCCTCTTGGGCCACACTCTCCTGGCCATCAAGTTGTCTCCTCTGAGCCCTAAAGTGATGGAGCCAGGGGGCCTCGCTTGCGGAGACCGCTGAGACCATGAGACACCGCAATAATGCATTGTTTGACATTGTTTCTCAAACATTTTCACAGTGGTGGAAAGTCTGTAACACAGTGCTTTGAGGCTGTGCTGTAGAATCTTGGGGGTACCTTGTAGAACCTCTCAGCTGCTCATGTGGTATACATAGATAAGATCACATTTCCTTCCAAGTAAATGGAAGTTGGTGAATTTGTGTGAACCAAGCTTGGCTGGGGAGATCATGGTGCCCAGTTTCTTAATGGCTTCCATTTCAGTTTCTTATGGTTTTGTTTTTTCATAGTTTGAGGTGAGAGAGGGGTAAGAAAGCAGCTCTTGGATTTCATAGTTTTTTTCATGGAATCAAAGTTGGTTCCCATGAAGCGATGTGGCCCAAATCCTTCTTCCTGGCCTGGCCTCCCTCCTCCCCGGGCCCCCAAGGCTGCAGTCCTTCCAAATTTCACAGAATCAGGGGTCCCTTGGGTCTTCCCACACACAGTCTGTGCATTGGTGGCAAACCGCAGGACAGGATGGCAGTCCCGCTGGGGCCCTTAGCCTAGGGACTGGTTTTGGTTCTAGTGTTCACACAGTGCTGAAGGGTGAAGCATCTCTTTTTGTGGGATCATCATGTTCTTTGCGTCTGTGCGTTTATATTTTTAAATGCCCCATGCTCGGCATATTTTTTTAAACTCCCAAGAGTAAACTGAAAGTGTAAATCCTGTTCATTTTAAGCTCAAGTTCTGTTCTCCTCCCCCTCAAGCAGTTCTGACTCCCAGGATTTTAAAGAACACACTCTTTATGGAGACAGGGTCTGGCTGTGCAACCCAGGTCGGCCGCCATCCGCCTGCCTCGGCCTGGGAGGGAGATGACAATCAGGCCCACGTGCCCGCGCTGACACCGACCCTTCCTGAGCACACTCTCCGCGCTCCTCCGCCCCAGCCTCGGTTGCCGGGAAAGGCCACCACTGGGCGCTCTCCACCACGCCAGAGGCCTGCGAATGCCTGGGGGCCCACGCCTGCGTGGACACAGAGTTGCCTAGGCGCCTAGCGTGGAGCCGGCCGGAGGGGTGGGGGACCGGGGCCGGCGCGGCGGGGTGCTGGGGTGCGGTGACCGGCCTGCCCACGCTGCCCCGGGCCGCTCGCGGACGACCACAGGGCAGAGCAGGCCAGGGGGCTGCAGAACAGACCGGCTTAGGAAGCCAGCTGGGAGTCGGGGCAGATGGGACCCGGGGTCCAGCCACGGCCCGGGGGGGGGGCTAGACAGTGACCCAAGGGGGTCAGGAGCGGTGACCCGAGGTGGGAGGTCGAGCGGTGCCCCGAGGGGCGCAGGGCTCCGGGCTCGCCGCGCGGCCCCGCCCGGCTCTTGCAGGAGCAAAGTTCGGCGGCGCGGGGCGGCTCGGCGCGAGCAGGGCCCAGGCGGGGCCGGGAGCGCGGGGTCTGCCCGGACGCGGCCGCACCCCACCGTGCGGATCCGCACCCCGTGCGGCCGGGGAGCGCGGGCCGCCGCGGCGTGGCCGTGGGGACGGGCGGCGGGGACTCCCGGGCGGCGCGCCCGCCGGAGCCCGCCCCGGGGCGCGGGGCGCGAGCCCGCGGCCGTCCAGGCAGCGGGAGCAGGCGAAGCGACCCGCGCTCCGCGTCCGCAGCGGGGCTGGGCTGGGGAGCGGCGCGGACCCCAGGGGGCCCCGGGTGGCCCGGCCCCCCCCGCCCCGCCCCTCCCCTTCCCCGCCCGGCGCGCGAGGGCCCGGGGCGCGGGGCCGGCGGGCGCCGCAGGCGGGGCGGGCGGGCCATGCCGCGGGGCCGGGCGGCGCGGCGCGGGCGCTGCGGGCGCTGCGGGCGGCGCGCGCTGCTGGCGGCGGCCGCGTGGACCGCGGGCTGGGTGCTGGCGGCCGCGCTGCTGCTCCGCGCGCACCCGGGCGCCCTCTCCGAGCGCTGCTCCGACGCGAAGAGCCGGCGCATCCTGGACGCGCTGGTAGGTGCCCCGTCCCCCGTCCCCCGTCCTGCCGCGTACCCCCGTCCCGCCGCATACCCCCCGTCCCCGCGCGGCCCTGGGCGCCGCTTCCCCCGAGGGGAGGGCCGGCCGCGGGAGCGGGGCGCCGCGGGGATTGGCTCTTTGTCCCTGGACGGCTCCCCCCCCCACCCCCCAGAACAAAGTTTGCGGCTCGGTTCCTGGCCCTGGGCGCTCACAGCCGGTCCGGGCTCCCCGGCTCGCGGGCCCGCCGCCTAGGCCGTCCCCGCGTCGCCGAGCCGAGGCGGACGGCCCCGCGCGCCCTGCGTCCGTGGGAACGCAGGCTGAGGCGCGCAGGTGAGCGCGCGGCCAGACCCCGGCCCCGGCCCCGCGCCCCGCGCCCCGGCCCCGCGCCCCGGCCCCGCGCCCCGACTTCGCGCCCCTGCCCCGCGTCCCGGCCCCAGCCCGCGCCGCAGCCTAGGGCGGACGCGGGGAGGCTCCGCAGGGCTCCCCGGCCGGGCTGGGCTGCTGGGCACCGAACCGCAGACGCCCGCCCGCCTGGCCACCTGCCCGGGGACACGGCGCCCGGCCGCACGTAGGGGGCGTCCTGGGCAGGAGATCCGAGGCAGGGGCCGCGGCCGTCCGCTCCCGACCTCGCTGCGATAGCGACCCGGCCCAGCTGGTTTCAGAGATGATCCGTTTCCTGAGAAACTTCCAGGAAAGACGCAGAAAGTTCTCGGCCCAGTTGCTTCCACACGGGTGGGTTTTGAGACAAGAGACAAAGATGGAAAGGTAAAGGAGCTGGGCCGGGCGGTGGTGGCTCACGCTGCGTCCAAGCCACCCCGGAGGCCGCGATCCGAGCATGGATCCCAAGTCAGACAGGGAGAGAAAGTCCACGAGCCTCATCTCCAGAGGACCCGAGCAAAGCCAGAGAGGACCAGTCCAGGGTGAAAGAGCTAAGCCCTGAGTTCAGACCCCAGCATCGAGTGCGCCAGCTCTCTCTCTCTGTCGCGCTCTCTGCCTCTCTCCCTCTCCCTCTCTCCCTCTGTCCTCCTCTCTCCTCTCTCTTCCCTCTCACTCTCTCCTCCTCTCTCCTCTCTCTTCCCTCTCTCACTCTCCTCTTCTTCTCTCTCCCACTCTCCCTCTTTCTCCCATGCTCACCCAAAGTAAATGATCTTCCAATGGAATTTGGGGAAACTAAAGAAGTCAGACAATTCATGTTTCCTCCTTGTTGGACGGCTGTCCAGTTACCTCTTTCAGTCCCAGTTACACTGAAGTTCCCCTAAGTTTAACTTGTGGGAGCTCATAGATAGTTCTCAGTTGACCCATCTACAAACCTCTTTCACCTATAAAGATTTCCTTCCTTTATTTGGGGGCAGCCGATCGATTAATTAAAGAGAAAATACTTTTCCTAGTGAGCAGGACCTGCTTACAAATTTCATACAGCAATCTTTTAGATTAAAATTCTTTAAAAAATGAACACTACTTTTCAGGCAGGGAGAGATCTAATGGCACGTAAATAGCCTGATAGAATTTAAGTAATTGCTAATCATTACTTTCCCAGCATCCCAGGTTGTAAATTAAAACCAATTTGTTTAGAAGCCTCGCCCATCCGTCTTCAATGACAGCCCACAGAGCTGACTTTCCTGTGACATCCCACGGAGGAGCTTGGCCCTGCCTCTGACAGCCCTCAGTCTTGACTGTTGCCCCCCAAAATGATTCAGATTCCGACATTCCTAGTTTGTTTGGCAGTGTTCCCAGGTGAGCTGCTGACAGAGTCACCGGGCTGGCCCAGGGTGATATCACCCCACCCCCACATCACCCCCACCCCCACATCACCCCCACCCCCTTTCTGGCTGTGCAGAGGCTGGCATTGTGGTTCCCAAAGACTACAGCTGAATTGCGCCTCTGTGCCGGCTCTCAGCACTTTTCATTCTGCCTGGCTTTCATCCTACATAATAAAACTGGTTGTTATTTTTCTGACTGGCCTCCAGACACTCATTAGCTTTCACTCTGAGTACCGGAGTGAGTGCAGAAGAAAACTGGAGCCAAAGGGAGGTTCTGGCAGAGCAGGGGCCTGTGGTGAACACTCTCCACAGCAGCCGGGTTCCCAGGCTCTTGCCTGCCAGGGGCCACTGTGGCCTGCAGGGAGAACTTACCTGGTACATCAGCTGGCTGGGAAAGCCCAGAACCGGTTAGGAGACAAAGTCAGATGTCTACACCATCTCTGTCCTCTTTTGAGGGAGCCAAGCACATTTCCTGGACCAGACTCCCTGCCTGGGCCTGTGGCTGCACATCTAGAAGCAGAGGCAGGAAGATCCTGAGTTCCAGGCCAGCCTGGCCTACATGGTGAAACCCAAGCTCAATACATAAATAAAACCAAACAAGTCTCTAGCAAAACTGACTTCACATGTTCTGAAGGATTCGAGCCTGCCAGACCGCACCAGTCCACTTCGGAGCTTTCCAGTGGGGATGGCAACCATGAGCTGGGACCGCTCACCAACGGGCTGTGGTGCCGTTGGGGAGGTTCAGCCCATGGAAGAGAGTTTGGACGTGCTTGATTGTTAGAGTTGGGCTCTCTCTCCCTGTGGGATGGGCGCTGGAGGTGCCCGCTCCGTTGATGTCCACTCTGCCAGGCACTGGGCTTTTGTTACTCCTTTTATTATGCCTTACATTTTGCATAATCCCCTCGCAGACTCTACAGTATTTTTGCTTTTACTATCCCATTTATAGATGGCAAAACTGAGCATCAGGGAAGCAAATTTCCCTGCTTCACAGTCTGTCAAGGGCCCGGCTGGACATGGTCGCGTCCCGTGGTAGAGACCAAGGGTGGTAAGTGGCTTCTCCCACAGCGAGAACTCGAAGCTGTAACTGAAGGTGTAGACAGCCCTTCCATAGCGTGCCATTTTCAAAGCAATGCAAAAACATCCCCCTGTGCTATTCAGAAGGCTCCTCTGCCTGGTACTCCTCCCGGGAGTGCTCTGGCCACGTTGGTAAAGAAGAAAGGGGTTTCCCGGGGAGCCTTTACCTGCTGCATACTGCAGCGCATGGTGTCACAGCCTGGAGAAAATCCCCTCATGAAATATGAATGGCGCCAAGGACCTTGGTGCTCCTTCAAAACAAATACACAAAAGGAAACCCGGTCCTTTGGCATGATCTCTGAGACCTGCCAACAGTTTCTAAGACTAGAGTCGACAGGCTTTGTTCTTGTCTGAGAACCGTGCTACAAACAGGAAAGATAATGAGCAACAGGCACAAAGAATAGTTCTAGCACAAGCTAGGACTGGTTGGACAGAGTGCATTTGTAGGCATATACACATATTCAAGGGAAATGCAAACCTACTGCCATTTAATTTAAAACTATGCTGGAGTTAGCCACATTGAGACCTTTTCACCCCGTTGGTTTGTGAATTTCATGCCTGTGAATCTTAAAAGCACATCCATTGGGTGTTCATATAGCTGGCAATTAGGTAGACGAAAGTGGACTTACATCCACTTACATGGTGGCTCACATCTGGAATCCTAGAGACTTGAGAGGTGGAGATCCAGAGTATCGTCAGTTGAGGCCAACCCAGGCAGGAAATTTGAGAGACCTATCTCAACCAAAAGCTGGATATTGTGCTGTGCTCTGGTCATCTGAGTTATGGTGGAAGTATTTATAGGAGGATCGAGGTTTAGGCCAATACTGTCCAAAAGTGAGACCGTTTCTCAAAAATTACCACAATGAAAAGGGTTGCAGGTGTGGCTGAGGTGCTAGAATGCCAGCCTGGGGAGTGCAAAGCCCTGGTTCAAAGTGTAGTATAGAAAAATAGCTTCAACAGGATATGCTGTTAATACAATAAGGCAACTCTTGTCTCACATTGTGAGTGCTCTATATAGTTTTTTTTTTTTTTTTGTCGGTCGTGGGGCTTGAACTCTGGGCCTGGGCGCTGTCCCTCAGCTCTTCAGCTCAAGGCGAGTGCTCTACCACTTGAGCTACAGCGCCACTTCCTTGTCTCACATTATGAGATGTTGTTGTAGGATATGGGCTTCAACGCAGGGCCTGAGCGCTGTCCCTGAGCTTTTCTACTCAAGACTAGCACTCTACCACTTTGAGCCACTGCTCTACTTCCAGTTTTCTGGTGGTTCATTGGATATAAGAGTCTTATGGACTTTCCTGCTGGGGCTGGCTTTGAACTGTGATCCTCAGATCTCAGCCTCCCGAGTAGCTAGTATGACAGGCGTGAGCCACAAGTGTCCAGCATAAGGGGTTTTAATTACCTTTAAAGCTGCAATTAATATGTCAAGTTTACTGTATTTCAAATCGCTGGATTAGGTCTTTCTAGAGCCAGCAACCACAGACCAGTGGGAAATGCCTGAGAACGTACGTGGCCCTGCTAACCTGCCATGGATGGGGATACATTTTGCATTCTGCACGAGAAGTGGGAATGCCAAAAGTTTCCCCACAAGAATGACAGCTCTGAAATAGACGCACACATATAGAGTTCTCAGTGCATGCTTGGATGTAATGTCAAGTATCTGACAGCTGAGGTCCCAGGGCCACTAGCAAGTGAAGTCAGAAGCCTGGGACCTCACCTGGGGCAGGGCAGCCCGAGACCCGGCTTTGGTCACTCCACTCACCTTCCGCCCTTTTTGATTCTGGGTTTCCCAGCAAGAAACCAGCTGGGTGGGGGGCTCACTTCGAAACCACTCTGCTGACCTCCAGAAGAACGGCCAAAATTAAGATTCCCCTTCAAAGCCGGTAGACCGATGCCAGCATCAGTTATACCATTGTTCAAAATGTCTTGCAAATCCTGTTTGGAATTGCCGTCCACGTTTGCTGGGGCAAGTGTAATGTATGTTCAGTTTCCTATGTTACTTCATTGCTGTAGTGCCTCCCTGAGTGTGTGTGTGTGTGTGTGTGTGTGTGTGTAATGTAACAGCAACACTGTGCTGCTAGACTCAGGGCACACAGCACGACCCGGATGTGGTTTAGTGAGAATTGGGAGCAGAGGCACCCTAGGGACCAGGGGCAGATTCGGCGCATGCAGGACTGGAGGGAGGACGTTTGTCAGATGATGGTGTTTGGGGTGGAACATTCCGGTCTGTCTTGCAGGTATATGCTGGAGCTGCTCTCCACTCTCTGAACCCTTTCTGATTCCTGGCACACTTGGAGCTGCATGAAGTATAGGCCAGGCCTTTGTACAGCTGTCCCTATACCTGAGTTTACCTTTGGTCTCATTGGCCTCTTGGGAGTTTCTGCTCATCCACTTGTCAAGTTGAGCCCAGACATAGCTCCATGGAAAACCCTACCCCCCTTACCCTCTCAGAGCCAGGTCTGAGACCGGGAGAAGAGCTAGCTCTATCTAAAGCCGCCATGTTTGGGACTGTGCGTCTGGGACCTTGTTCCACCATGCCAGGTCTCCTTGGCAGTGCTCTTGCTCTCTGGACGGCTTGGGAATGAGCTGCTCAGCCGGGCAGCGCCCAGAGGCTTGCTCCGAAGCTTAGCCGGCTGTCTTCCTGTCTTGTGTATGCCAGGCTATCATGGCATGCAGGAGTTTTAAAGGTGTCAGATCTGAACTGTGGACTGAGCCTGGGAAGATATCCATGAGTGCCCACGGGTTCCTTTTGGAAGCTGGCACTGTTAACTCTGTAAGTGGCAAGAAGGGACAGGAGGGCTGAGAATGTGACCTAGTGGTAGAGTGCTTGCCTAGCATGCATGAAGCCCCAGGTTCGACTCCTCAGTACCACATACACAGAAAACGCTGGAAGTGGTGCTGTGGCTCAACTGGTAGAGATCTAGTCTTGAGCTGAAGAGCTCAGAGACAGCACCCAGGCCTAGAGTTCAAACTCCATGACCAACAAAAGAAGAAGGAGAAGGAGGGAGCAGGAGTCGGGGGACACGGCCTGTGGTCACTCCTTACTTTGCAGGGGCCACAGGGGGGGGGGCACTCACGCTGGCGGCAGCACTGCCACAGCCCCGATTTGAAGAGCGAGTTCTCTGGCGGTGAGTGATTGTGCTCCTGGCTCCTTGCTGTGCTCAGAGGTGAGGGGAGGCCCCGCTGCATGGCTGGCACCCCTCGCGGCCGTCCTCCTCTCCCGGGCTGCGCTCAGCTGCACCCAGGAAAAAGCGAGCCTTCCCCTCCCAGTGGGGATCCCCTCCAGGGGTCTTGGAGCTCCGGGGTCGGGTCAGCCGTCCACCCCATCAGTGCTCTTTACTTGCTGCTCTCTCTCAGTTCTGTTTTGTAGTTCACGGTAGAGAGATGAATTAGTGCCTTCAGCCCCTTCCCCTCCGAGCCCCTCCTCCTGCAGACTGCCCTGAAGGTCCTCAAGGAGCCGGGCCTTCCCTTCCTTCCTGGGAGGTACGTCTGGGAAGAGCAGAGTAGTTGGGAGGAAGGGCGTGGCCTCTCCATGCTTATTTCTCCTCCAGCCTTTGTCAGTCCACCATCCTTTACCCAACACATGGGGGCCAGACATGCTTGGAAATCAGACTTTCTGGATGTTAGAAAGATAACATTTGGGAAGATAGCATTTGGGAAGCTGAGGCAGGATGATCTCAAGTTCTAGGCCAGCCTGGCCTAGTGAGCTCCTGTCCCTAAGTCCTCCCTGTCCCCCAGAGAAACAGAATAGGGTACACACACACACACACACACACACACACACACACACACACACACATTGTATTTTGCATTTAGGGGCAGGACCAGCCATCAGACAGTGATTCTTCAGCAGAATGGATGCAGACTCCAGGCAGACTACCCCATCTTTTTAAGCCTTGTCCAATACCATGAGTCTAAATGATTCATGAAAATTGGTAGTTTTCAGAGCCTTGTGATTGTCTCAGGATTTTTGTGTCTAAGCATTGGAGGTTCATTTTATAACTTGAAGGAGCATCTAGTAATCTACTCAGGGTTAATAGAGCTGAATCCTACACAACAACCAGCCCGCACTGGAGAAGATATAATGGAACTGGGGCTCGAGAGCCTTCTTCTGAGACCTGGTATGTGCCTCTGGCTTGGCAGACGGGAGGCATCTTCTTCCTTCCTCCTCTTCTTCTTCTTCCTCCTCCTCCTCTTCCTCTCTCCCTCCTCCTCTTCTTCTCCCCCTCCTCTTCCTCCTCTCCTTTTCCTCTTCCTTTTTTTTTTTTTTTTTTAGAACTGAGTTATCTTTCTGTTTCTATGATAGCTAAAGATCTCTTTTGCTTTAAGTCAACATACATTAGAGATTTTAGTTTACTTGTGATTCTCATTATTGTGTAACTGCTGTGTAAATAGTTGTTTGGGGAACATACCTGTCCGTGTTCACTATTGATGCGACATTTAAGTATTTCAGAGAGAGTCTGGCTGCGACTTACCTGCCCATGATGGCCTGTCGTTCGTATCTGAGGCCGGATCACAGGCTCCTGAGCGCCGGGGCCAGCCTGTGCCTTTCCCGACACCCGGCCACTGGCGGTGGGGTGGCCGTGGCGGATGGGTGCCCGTGGTGACACCCGGTTCCCTTCCTTGCAGTGCCGGGACTACCGGGGCGGCTGGCTGACCGGCGCCCTGTGTGAGGACCTGTGCGTGGCGGGGCGGCTGCTGTACCAGCGCTGCCTGTACTACGAGCGTGGCAAGAAGGTGCTGCAGGCCCAGTGGCGTGGCCGGCCCGTCGTCCTCAAGTCCAAGAGGGAGGCTTTCTCCAGCTTCCCGCCCCTCGGCCTGCTGGAAGAGGAGGCCGGGCCGGGCGGTCAGGGCATCTCCGAGGCGGACCTGCTCCTGCTGGTGGCCGGGGAGGTGAAGAACGCGCTAGGTCTGGAGCTGTCGGGCAGCAGCATGGGGCCCCTGTGGCCGGCCAGGAGAGGCCCAGGCTGGCGGCGGCAGCTGGACAGCGCCTGGTCCCTGCTCCAGCAGGAGGAGTATGTGTACTTGAGCCTGCTGCAGGACCTCAGTCACCACGTCCTGCCCGTGCTGGGCTCCTGCGGCCACTTCTATGCTGTGGAGTACCTGGCCCCCGGCAGCCCCCACCACGCGGCTCTCTTTCCGCTGGACGACTCTGGCCCCCGGGGGGGACAGGCTCGGGCCACCAGCCGCATTGCCCTCAGCTTCCTGGACATGGTGAGCCACTTCGACAACGACTTCTCCCATCGCCTCCACCTCTGCGACATCAAGCCGGAGAACTTTGCCATCAGGAGCGACTTCACAGTAAGACGGGGCGGGGGGGGGGGATGGCTACAGTGTGCCGGGGGGGGGGGGGGGGTTGACAGAACTTGACGCAGTGGTGCAGGTCCAGCCAGGAGGGGACAGGAGGCAGCGAAGAGGGGACACAGCAGCGGCCCGCAGGTGGGATTCCTCTTCCCCGTGTGTGTGGCAGCATCTATAGCAGGCGGGCCTGAAGAGTGTGAAATTGCGAAGGACAGGTGACAGTGGCTAAGTGGCAACACACGAACGAGCCGTCGGCTGCGGGTCCAGCCGGGCTCCTAGCAGTGTCTCCAGTGCGTGTCTTAGGGAGGGGTTCTGGGGTGTCCTCAGGGTGCGTCCTGACCCGACCCTGCCCTACTGTACAGGGCGGTGGCCTTTTGTCCTCACTGCGGGCAATGAAGCTGCCTGAGAAATACAGCAAGGTGGAGGAGAGCGCAGGAGGGGCTTCGGTGTCTCCCGATAGCAATTCTCTCTCTCCTCCTTGCTGAGCTAAACCCAACATGCTGGCTCAGTGCTGTTCTCCCAAGGCTGGTTTGCCATCTGCTGGTCGGGGGCAGAGCCATCCACAGGAAGGGGTGGCAGCGGAGCCCGTGAGGGGGTTGGCATGGGAAGTCGTTGGGAAGGGCTGAGTTCTGGTTCCCGCCACCACCCACAACAGGTTTATTCGAAGGCTGCCTGCACCAGGCAGTGAACAGCCAGCGGGGCTGGATGAGCTCGGCACCCAGAGAAGGGAGGGATCCTTGCTATTGCTCACGGGCTGCCGTGGTTTGCTGTGTTGTCCTCATGCTTGGTCTCTAGCTGCCTTGGAGAAGGTGGCAAGCCAGGGGTGGCTTCCAGTTAGAAGGGTACATGCTGGGAAGTGCTGGTAGGTTCCAGAAGATTCTAGGAAGCTCCAGAAGGTCCTAGGAGGTTCCAGAAGGGCCTGCACACGGGGCAAGGAGCTCTGTGGAAGCACGGCCCTGTTTGCCCTCGCAGCGAACCCTGTGTTGTTTCTTAGATGAAGTCCTGAGCTGTCGGGGTGTGCATTCCACCCTGTGGCTTACTGTTTTATATTTTGTGTCATGGTTGTTCTAAAGGTGGTGTGCAGAGGGCAATGAGTACCTTGCTTCATGGAGGTCACCTCTTCCTTCGCTCCCGCAGCTTACTACTTAGAGAGGAGGTGACCCTGCCGCCCTGGAGCGGGCTCCCGGGGAGTGAGCAGCAGGAGAAACGCTCAGACCATCGGGGTGGGGGCACGTCACCGGGAGTCCTCGGGTTCCGGCCGTGCTGAGGGCTGGACTGTCACCTCCGGCTGCTGGCTTTGGGCAGTCCTGGGCCGGTGCTCGGGCCTCCCTGTGGGGGGTGACGAGGGACGCTCCCAGGCAGGCGCACGGTTCCGATGACACTGTGCTGTGGGGAGTCGTCTAGGCTGTGCCTCGGGCGTCTTGGGCCCAGGAGGCACAGAACACGTCCTCCCTGCATTCTCCCTCACCAGACTCCCAGACTGCGTGGGATGGGCCGGCGCTGGGCCCCTGCTCGCCGCAGTCCTGTTGGAGTAGAAGGGGAGAGGGAGGGTGGGGAGGGGAGGGCCTTCCTCACTACCCCGTCCTTCTTTACCCTTCTCATTGAGACTGGGGCACAAGGAGTCCATGGTGTTACCTGCAATTTTGTGATGTGACACAAACCCCAGAGCATCCACATGGCCAGAGACCCTGTTAGCAGTGCGAATTCTCAGGTTCTCCTGCAGAACAACTGAATCTGGACAGAAGGCTCTGCCAGCTGTGCTTGAAAACCTGTTACCTCCCAGCCAAGTGTGGTTGCGCAAGCCTGTAATACCAGTTTGGGAGGCAGGAGGATTATGAGTTTGAGGTTAGCCTGGACTACTAGCAAGACCCTGTCTAAAACAAACAAAAAAAAGGTTACTGCCTAGGTGTTCCTGGCACTGGCTCAGGTTTGGTAAAGGCTCACCCAGGGAGGTTCCCTGTCTCCCTGCTGGCCTCCAGGCTGGGCTCCCCAGCTACCCTGCAGAGTCAGGGGTAGGGGGTCCTGTGCCCGACTTGGCTACAGGTTTAGGAATTTTTCCAGTGGTTGTTTGCAAATGAACCTAGGGAATGAAAATGACTCCGACTCTAGGGTCCTACTCTTGAGTAGGTCCCTACTCGAGCTAAGGAAAGTGGGCGAGGAATAGGAAAGGACTCTGGCCCGGCTTTCTATGGGGCGTCAGGAGGAAGCTGAAGATGTAGGGAAAGGTGGAGTGTGCAGGCTCATCATAATTCTACATGCTAGGAAATCGGGCAGATTTCCTTTTTCTTTTTGTTTTGTGACTATTCTTATTTCAGTTACGTAGAGGTGGGCTTCCAGGAGGTGTAATAAGAAATAAATCTGGCTTACTCCAGGAGTGGAGAAGAAACCCATCAGAAATGGGACGGAGGAGTTGAAATTGTATCTAGGAGCTCAGGAGAAGCTGGGAAGATTGCCAGAAAGTATATAAGAAGAGAAGGGTCTTCTAGCCCCAACAAGAAATGATGGATAATGGGCATATCAGCATAGCCCTCATTTATTTTTAGTATATTCACCAGGCTAAATAATAGAATTTGCGATTTATTTTGGCGAAATAACAAGATAGAAAAGATCGATTAAAATAACAGATTGTTTGTCTTGCTTGAATCCATTATTGGGCAAAACCCTTTAAACAGGGAAAAGTTCTCTGTTCTTTATTTTCATTATTCTGGACATCTATTGGAATAAATTAACTGTTTCCTCATGCTCTGTTTTACTAAATAATCCCTAAGAACTTAGTGCCTTCCAGGCATCAATCTTAACTGAAAGACAAAAAAATAGGAGCCAGGGGTTGTGCCCCCCAACACTGCACAGAATGACAGGAACAGCCTGCTCCTTTTCTGAGGGCAGGACTCCCCCAGGGGCAGAGAAGCCGGAGCTGGCCCTGGCTTGTGGAGGCCTGTGGGATGCCGCCATCCCAGTCCATCGATCAGACCTCTGAACTAGGAGCTGCTTGGGTACACTCCAGGTTCTTGCAGATCTGCACTCCTCTCTCTCTCTCTCTCTCTCTCTCTCTCTCTCTCTCTCTCTCTCTCTCTCTCTCTTGTTCTATCCAGGTGGAAAATCTGCATAATGTAGAAGTTATTCCCTCTCGGTTTATGAAGTCTATTCGGTTTGAAGCCAGGGAGAGAAGTCTGAAATCCCACAGGGGCGGAGGGGTGGTGTTACCAAGTTCTTGCTCTGACAGTGGAACTCGGTAGTTGATGGTTCAGGGTCTCTCTGTATCCGTCCTAACCTGTGCTGCCCTTTCTCTGATCCATCACACTGGGGTGACAGATGTGCCCTCAGCCAAGCCCTGAAGCCACTGCCCACCCATTTCTTCACGGCATTCTTTTGATTGCATGCAGCCGTGGGGATGAGTTCTCCCACCTTTTGTAAGCCTGGTTCTGGAAGGTATGAGAAATGGGAAAGCATTTGCACCTCTAACAACAGCAACAACAAAAAGTAAATCCATCCAGGAAGCTAAAGGGAGTTCTTACACACAACTGCCTGTGAATAACTGCCCGGGAAAACTGCCCCGACACACATCTGCCCCCGACACACATCTGTCCCCGACACACATCTGCCCCGACACACATCTGCCCTGACACGCGCCTGCCCTGACACGCGCCTGCCCTGACACACGCCTGCCCCGACACACGCCTGCCCCGTCACATGCCTGCCCCGACACACATCTGTCCCTGACACACGCCTGCCCTGACACACGCCCGCCCTGACACACGCCTGCCCTGACACACGCCCGCCCCGACACGCGCCCGCCCCGACACGCGCCCGCCCCGACACGCGCCCGCCCCGACACGCGCCCGCCCCGACACGCGCCCGCCCCGACACGCGCCTGCCCCTGACACGCGCCTGCCCCGACACGCGCCTGCCCCGACACGCGCCTGCCCCGACACATGCCTGCCCCGACACACATCTGCCCCTGACACACGCCTGCCCCGACACACATCTGCCCCTGACACACGCCTGCCCCGACACACATCTGCCCCTGACACATGCCTGCCCTGACACACATCTGCCCCTGACACACGCCTGCCCTGACACACGCCTGCCCTGACACGCGCCTGCCCCGACACACGCCTGCCCTGACACACGCCTGCCCTGGGCACCGCAGCCGGGCCCGGAAGCTGCTTGTGCAGGAAGTCTGCGCAACCTTGGACTGCTGCCGCGCCTGACAGTGATCATTGACAAGAACCACAGCAATGCTTCACATCATCGGAAGTTTTGCCTTTAACACTGCTGCTTGCCCCACAGTCTGAATATGCCATTGTTTTCTTTTAATTTTTAGCTTGTTATTGTAAGGGGATGAGCGAGGGTACAGTCACACCAGCCAGGGCACGAGTACATTTCTTTCTTCCCTTGCTCTTTCCCCATTTCTTCCTCCTGTCCCTCACGTCATGTGAATTCCCTGGCAACGTTCTGTGTTCTCCAAATAGGTGTCATGATTCTTTGAAGGATCTCTCTTTGGTTTTGTTATCAGAGACCAGACCAAAGTGATAGAGCAACAGAAGAAAAATTTATCTTTAAAACATTTCAGAGATGGGGCTGGGAAGGTAGCTCAGTGGTAGAGGGCTTGCCTTGCATGCCTGAGGCCCTCTGCACCACATAAGCAAAAAGAAAAAAGCCGGAGTGGCGCTGTGGCTCAAGTGGTAGAGCGCTAGCCTTGAGCTGAAGAGCTGAGGGACAGTGCCCAGACCCAGAGTTCAGGCCCCATGACTGGACCCAAAAAAAAAAAACATTTCAGAGATTCCTTTTCTTTTTTTAACATGAGGTCTCACTATGTCATTCAAGCTGGCTCTAAACTCTCTTCTGCTTTAGCCTCCTCCATGCGGAGATTACAGGTGTGAGTTACTACTCCCACCCCAAGAAAGCTTTGTACTTTTTTGTGTGTATGGTAATAAGATTCATATTCAGTGTTTTACACTTCCAAGGCAGATGTTCTACCCTTTGAGCCATACTCCCAACCCTTTTTGCTCTAATTATTTTTCAAATAAGTTCTCGAGCTTTGCCTGGGCTGGGCCTAGACCATGAAGCTCCTGCCTGGACCCTTTGCCTCCTATCTGTTTCCTACATAACTGGAATGAGAGACATGCACCCTTGCACCCAGATTTTACTGGTTAAGGTTGAGGTGTCTCACAAGGCTGGCCTTGAACCATCGTCCTTCCCATCCCCGCCTCTAAGATTACAGGCATGAGTCCCAGCCAAGATTCAGCTTTAAACATGGAGAAAATGTTCACGGATAAAAAATGATTCTTGCGGTCCCAAATCTCAGGCTTTCTCTAATGCTGAACAACGAAGTTTCTCTTGAAGTTAAAACTGTGAAACTTGCTTGTGTCAAGCAACACATACGTGAAGTCCTTGGGAAGGCCAGTCACTCCCCCGGGTGCGGCCTGGGCTCTTGGTCTTGGTCAGAGTCCTGTGATCGTCTGTAACCTGGACACAGATGCCCAGGCCCGGGAAAGGAGTGGAATGTAGGCTCCGCCCTGGAGCTCTGTGTCCTGTGATGACGGCCCGTGCTGGTTGGTTGCAGGTGGTGGCGATCGACGTGGACATGGCCTTTTTTGAACCTAAAATGAGGGAGATCCTTGAGCAGAATTGCACCAGAGATGAGGACTGCAATTTCTTTGACTGTTTCTCGAGGTGTGATTTGCGAGCAAACAAGTGTGGAGCCCAGCGAGTCAACAGCAACCTACAGGTGAGTTTTCCCCTGGGGCCTCTGCCCTCCCCCAGCCGGCCCATCCTCCCGTGGAGTTGAGGGGGTACCCATCAGATAAGCCTCCGCCACCCCCGGGGTCAAGCTGGTCAAGCTGACACTGGGATCTGATGGGTGCACATGCCGGCAAAGCCTGGTGGATGTCTTCTTCCCATAGCTGGGCTCAGCCAAGGGGCTAGCGCTCCGTTTGCTCTGGTCCAGTCTCTGCAGCTACTCAATCCCTCTCGACACAGGGAGTGAGAACCCAGCTGATTCCTCGGGTCGGAGCAGTCACCGAGACTGCAAAAGGGCCACCTAGAAAGCGTGGACAGACAGGAGCGCTGGACACACAGCTCAGTGCGGCTGGGAGCCCGGGGGGCGGGGGGAGGCGGAAGCTGGGTGATGGAGTGTGGTGGGGGTAGCGAGAGGGTCAGGCTACTTCCACATTTCACTCTTCCGTCAAGCCAAATTCCAGGTGGCTCAAGTCCTTGCAAAAAGTAAAATCCTAAAAGTGTAAGAAAAAAATCAAAGACCAACCTTGGGAGAATTGTAAATATTGTCCTGGTATGCATCAGGCTGTGGAACACGGCTGAGAAGCTAAAGGAAGAGCAGCCGACAGAGTTCACTGTCTTTATGAAAAACACGTCTTTATTGGCCAAAGTCAGAAAAAAACGTGAGCAAACTTAAAATCGTTGCCGTTTGCTTTACAGGCCGAGAGTGTGGGATGGGCTCACAGTAGTTCTGGGGGGCTGGGGGTGTCTGTACCTCACCACCAGAACTTCTTTGCAAAGGTTACACCCACTTCTCTGTGGGGACCTCTAGTCAGGGGGGAAGAGAAGAGCACAGGTACAGCGCCCCACCCCTCCGCTTCTGCCCCCCAAAACACTCCTCAACAAATACCTGCATGCAGAATCCCTTTGTAAGGAAGCACCGATGGCCCTAAGATGTAAAGAGCATCTGCAATCCAATATAGAAAAGGACGGTCCACATGATAGCGTTTTGGATAAATGATATAAGGAAAGAAAACACGCTGAAAAGGAAACACATAGCTTTACACCCGACTGAAAAGCGAGAAGAATGGAAAGAAAATCATTGTTATCCATCTGTTGGTCAAATGACAGCATGGGTGATGTGATGAGTGGGGAGGAAAGGGAGGAGCTTCTGGGAGCCAAGGTGAGGTCCCGCCCTGAAGGAGCAGGGCGCAGCAGAGCTCGCGGGAGCCCGCGGTGGGCCACAGCCGAGCGGGTTCTTTCAGGCCTGGATTAACCATCCCCCTCTCCTTAGGTCGTCTGTGACAAGATATTTCGTCCCTGGTTCTCCTCCACTCTGCGGAGCCCTGTCATCTCGACCCAGCTGGAGCTGCAGCTCCAGCAGGCCGTGCAGGAGTGCGTAGACGCAGGCGGCAGCGCCTGGAGAGTGGCCCCTCACGTGTTCTGGAAGCTTCAGTGGCTTCTTCAGGCCATCCTGAGAGAGCTGCAGGAAGCCGAGAAGTAGCTCTTCGCCTTGACCCTTGCACACAGGGAAGGACCTTCAAGTCATTCCTTCGGCAGCCATTTGGCGCTGCAGGCTGGAGCGCTGGGTGCCCCCAACCTCCCACACCCGTTTGAGTCCTTTTGGTTGGTCTTGTCTTCTGCCCTGTCAGCCCCTTGCCTCAGAAATGAAGCCAGCAGGAGGTTCAGACCATGACTTTGGGGTAGGAGGCGCTCAGACAGAAAACACAAGCCGCAGCACGCGGTCCCCTCCGTGGAAGGCACGTGCGCCTGTTCATCGGACAAGCGGCCCACGGCCACGTGTGCACACGAGTGGATGTGTTCACAAAGGAGTGGATGCACACACGCTCCCGAGGTGCACGTGTGTGTGTATGTAGACTAGCACGAGTGAGTGTGTGCACATGGGAATGTGTGCACACAAGTGCGTTCCTGTGTGTATACGCACATGTGCACAAGTCTGCGTACATACGTGCGTGATTGTGCTCAAGAATGAGTGTGCTCATGAATGCACATGCCACTGGAGGCATGCGCACGAGTCTGCCTGTGAGTGCATTGGGTGTGCATGTGAGTGCGCATGTCTGCTTGTGAGTGCATGAGTGTGCATGTGCACACACACAGACAAGTGTGAGCAGTTGGACATGTAGGGGGTGTTGGGAGGCGGGCTGTCTGGCGTGCTCTGTGCAGAAGCTTGGCTAGTTAGCTTTCTCTTGGAAGTAAATATAATAAAAGTGTGCGTCTTCAGGAAGTGTGGTTTGCATTGGAGAGTAGGTGGCAGCTTTTAGTATTCTGTTTTGGCAGAACTGATTTAATGGATTGTGTCTTAGGATGCACTTTGCCACTTACGCAATCCATCTTCCTCCTGAGCACGGAGCCCTGGGCCTGCAGAGCACAGTGTGGTCTCACCACACGCGAGAGATGACCAAGAGTGAGGGCCGGGCTGGTACTGACCCTGGTCCTGACGGGTCGGCTCTTTCTCTCACCTGGTTGGAGACTGAGCCGTGGACAACAGGCCACGCTCCGGCACCACATTCTCATCTGTGGATTCCTGAGCGCAGCTCTTCTGCATGGGCAGGCCCCCAGGAAGCAGGCCATGCTTTGGACTGCTCCAGCAAACGAGAACCCCGTGCAACCTGTGAGCCTTTCACAGTAGAGCCGCTCCATGTCTCCTCGAGTTGGACCTGTGAGCACGCACAGAATCCTCTCCTCAAATCATGTGAGAAAGGCATGACGTTTAAAAGATGAGGAAGGGCAGTTGGTGGTTTGCACATAGAGCAACTAAGCCTGAAGTTTAAAAACACGCACAATTCACAGATTCCACATGTTCCCCTCCCGGCAACACTCCTGTTGTAATCTGGAAAGGAAGCACACCCCAAGGCAGTGCGTTTCTCCAGCTGTGAGCTGGTGCTGGGCAGGGCTCAGCTCTATGATGCTGAAGACTTGCTTGAGGGCTCATCTACCTGCCTTGCTCTCCCGTCAGCCTCCCCGCTGGTTATCTGCCAAACCACACTGCGTTTTGTCTCGTCTCCTCCCCTCCTGTAGCTGAAGACTTGCTTTGCTCTTGCATGCTTTGGCAGGAGCTCCTGTCAGCCCCTGTGACACAGTGTAAGAACACAGGGTTTCTCAGCCAGGAGACTGGCGTGGGCTGTGGAGCTAGGCCACCTTTTCCCCAGAGTGGTGCTGGTATGTCTGTGTCTCTGCTGGGCAGGTTCTTACCAGTGGAAGGCTCGAATGAAGACCAGTGTGCAACAGAGGCCCAGCAAGGAGGTTGGGAGCTTCAATGCCCACCTCCTTCAGGCCTGGCCTTTGCACCAGGTGGTCAGAGGGGTGGCTCGTGGGCTGACCCCAGGTGACAGCTCTTCACTGGTGGCGCTGAGCTCACGGGCCAGGCAGCAAAGCCAGCTTCAAGGAAAAACATTTGTTTGCATTCCAACAGAATTGGAAGCAAACGTTTTTGTTCACCATGGAGATTCTGCAACATATAATTACCCAGCATAATGGTCATTCTTCTCTTTTCTTCTTTGTGGCTGCATGGTTACACACACACACACACACACACACACACACACACACACACACACACACATTTCTTTTCCATCCTTGCCTGGAGAATTCTCTTTAGGGCAATAGCTCTTAAACTTTCTATAGTGAAGTTCATTTTATTTATTTTTTAATGTTTGTGTATCAATTCTGGGGCTTGAACTCAGGGCCTGGGCAATGCCTTGTAGCATTTTTGCCCAAGTTTAATGCTCTACCACTTGAGTCACAGCTCCACTTCTGGCTTTTTTGGGGGTTATTTGGATATAAGAGCTCATGGACTTTCCTGCCAAGACTGGCTTTGAACTGTGTTCCTCAGATCTCTGCTTCCTCAGTAGCTAGAATTACAGGTATGAGCCACGGATGCCCAGCTTGTTTTAATTTTTAAACTCTTGCAGAAGAATGCTTTTATCTAATATAATAAACACTGTGCATATCAGATTTTGTTTTTTTTTAACTTAACTGTCCTAGGGATACAACCCAGAGTCTTTTACATGCTAGCAAAGCAGTCTACTACTGAACTCAGTCCTACATTTAATGTCTGTCTGTCTATCTTATCTATCTATCTCTACCTATATTTACCTATCATCTATTTATGTCTACTTACCTGTGTCTGTCATTTGTATATTGCCCATCATTATCTGAACTGTAAAAGATTGTAAAGGAGGCCCAGCAAACAGTTTATTTCAAATTAAAAACAAGTAGGTTTTTTTTTTTTTTTTTTTTTTTTTTGCCAGTTCTGAGGCTTGAACGCAGGGCCTGGGCACTGTCCCTGAGCTTCTTTTGCTCAAGGCTAGTACTCTACCGCTTGAGCCATACAGCTCCACTCCTGGCTTTTTCTGCATCTGTGGAACTGAGGAATTGAACCCAGGGCTTTCTGCATGCTGGGCAAGCGCTCTCCCACATTCCTGGCCCACAAGTAGTTTTTATACTCATCTAGTCACCGGAAGTCAGCTTTCACAGCTTATCTTGGGAGAGTATAGTCAAGGTTATATATATATATTTTTTTGGGTCTGGCTGCGGGGCCTGAACTCTGGGCCTGGGCGCTGTCCCTCAGCTCTTCAGCTCAAGGCTAGCGCTCTACCACTTGAGCCACAGCGCCACTTCCGGCTTTTTTCATTTTGCTTATGTGTTGCTGAGGCATGCAAGGCAAGCGCTCTACCACTGAGCCATCTTCCCAGCCCAGAGTATAGTCAAGGTTATCTTTTGATGAGAGCAGTTTTAGGATTGCAGGACATTTACACGGGCAGCCAGGGGCACCTGCTGCGGGATTATCAGGGTTCTCCCGCAGAAGAACAATAGGGTTCAGGCCACGTGAGCGTGTGGATGCCTGTGAGGAGCGGCAGTCCTGGCTGTGCCGCTCAGCCCTGCCAACATTGCCCAATCCTCTCAGTTCTCAACTTGCTTTAGGTGAATGGCTAACACCTTGCTTGGTTTGGCTGCCTTACTTTGCCAGGGTGACACATTATGGCTGGAGCGAGTGGCAGAGAAGGTGACACATCATGGCTGGAGTAACTGTCCACCTCATGGCAGCTAGCCATGTAAAGAGAAAAAAGGCCGGAGTCCTAATGGACCTTTGAGGCCACGCCCCCCGTGGCTGTTTCCTCCAGTCAGGCCCAGTTGTTCCAGAAGCACACACCAGCTTGGGCCTCCAACTTGTTTGAGACACATTCCCGATGCAAAGGCAATAGAAAAGGGCGTCGGCTTCTGCGCCACACCCCTTCCCGGGTAATGGCTTTCACGGCTACTTCAGTGACAACGCCTCTGGCCAGTTTCCTACTTACTGGATTTCAAAGGCCGCCTGGAAAGCTGTGGTGCCTGGGCTGACCTTGTTCTCCCCGCAGTGCTCTTCCCGGGTCGTGAAGTCACTGCTCTAGCAAATTGCTGGTCAGTTAGGTTGCAGAACACTTCAAAAGGCTGACAAAGCCGGGCGCTGGTGGCTCACGCCTGTAATCCTAGCTATTCAGGAGGCTGAGATCTGAGGATCGCGGTTCAAAGCCAGCCCGGGGAAGGAGAGACCATGAGACTCCTATCTCCAATAAACCACCAGAAAACCGGAAGTGGCACTGTGGCTCAAGTGGTAGAGCGCTCGCCTTGAGCTGAAGAGCTAAGGGACAGCGCCCAGGCCCAGAGTTCAAGCCCCACGACCGACAAAAAAAAAAAAAAAGGCTGACAAGAAGCAGCCTGTGCATCCTTCGGGGAGCTGATGTGCTAGGAGCCGAGATCTTTAGAGTCCTCAACACTCTCTCTACGCCTCAGGACGGTCCACATTCCACTTTCACTTCCTCTTCTAAGGCAGCCAGCGCCTTGTGCTCCCACGGCCTGGTGGTTCCAACAGGAGCTCTGAGATGAAATGACCCCGCGTTTATCTTGGCTGTGCTGCTTACCCGTGTGTGACTCTGCACCCCGCGCCTGGTTTAAGCTTCAGGTTCTCATACTAACAGCCCTTCCTGCCCTCAAACTGGAAACTGAGTGACACACGTCTGTGGACCAGGCGGGAGATCAAAGTGTAGATGTACAATGCACACCACCCCCAGCTTCTCCATCTTTGATCTCCTGAGCTTAATTCACACAAAAGAATTCTGGTCTAGGCCAAGCAGAATTTGAGCACCTCCACAAGCGTCACACTTAAAGTCACCGCACAGCATGCAGGGACCACTGTCAAGCGCTCTGGGGAATCTCACGTAGAGCTCGCCTCCTTCCTCCGGCTGTGTCTTGTCTCATGCACAGCCAAGTTTGGGTAGGGTTTCCATCTTGACACTCAGGGCCCTGTACATTTTTGCTTCTGCCAGTCTCCAAACTGGGCATAAGTGAGCCTCTTGCCCTGTTCCCTGCCTGGGGAAGACCTATGCTTTTAACCAGATTAGAGCCACAGATTCCCTTCTTTTTTTCTTTTAGTATGTCATGGGGCTTGAACTCTGGGCGCTGTCTCTCAGCATTTCAGCTCAAGGTGAGCGCTCTACCATGGACCACAGCACCACTTCCAGTTTTCTGGTAGTTTATTGGAGATAAGAGTCTCATGGGCTTTCCTGCCTGTGAGAGCCTCAGATCTCAGCCTCCTGAGTAGCTAGGATTACAGGCGTGAGCCACCGGCACCCAGCTACAGCCTCCCTTCTTTAAAACCATGTTTTGTGGGTTTGGCATGGTGGCTTGTGCTTGTAATCCCAGTTACTTGGGAGGCTGAGATCGGGAAGATCACAGTCTGGGCAAAAAGGTAGCATGAGTCCATTTCAATAATAAGCTGGACATGGTGACACGCATCTCTCACCTGGACACCACGGAAGCGTAGACAGGACACACCGTACGAGGCCTACCCTGAGCAAAAGTTTAAGAACCTGTCCAAAAGTAATGCTGGAGGCATGAAGGGTGAACAAATGCAGAGTGGTACTCACTAGACACTGTGTTGACAATGAACTCTACAACTTGTGGGGAGGGAGGGAAGCAAAAACAGAGACAGAGATGGAAGGGATGACATGTCCAAAAAGAAATATACTTATTGCCTGAGTTATGAATCAGTAATCCCTCCAAATGTCACCTTTACAATAACAATGAAAAAAATCACTAACAGGACTGGGTATGTGGCTCAAGTGATCGAATACCTGCCTGGTAACCATTGAGCTTCAAACAC